TTTCTTCTCTGACCCAGTTATTCTTCAGTAATCTTCATATATTTGTGGTTCTTCCTGTTTTCTTTCTGCGGTAGATCTCTAGTTTCAAAACATTGTGATCAGAGAATATGGCTGGTATGATTTCAATCCTCTTATATATGTTGAGGCTATCTCTGTGTCCCTGTATGTGGTTGATTCTTGAGAAAATTCCATGTGCACTAGAGAAGAATGTGTAAGCAGCTGCTTTGGGATAGAAGGCTCTGTAGATGGCATTTATGTCCAGTTGGTCTAATATGTCATTTCAAGATGTTATTTCCTTATTGATTTTCTGTTTGGATGATCTGTCCATATCTGAGTGGAGTATTTAGTTCTCCTACTATGATAGTGTTTTAGTCTGTTTCTCCCTTTAGTTTTGTTAGTAATTGCTTTACATATTTCAGGGCTCCCTAATTGAGAGCATAGATAATAAGTGATATATCTTTTTGGTGCGTGATTCCCTTTATCATTATAAAGTGTCCTTCCGTATTTTTCTTTACTTTTTTTATTTTGAAGTCTATTTCGTCTGATATTAGTACCACTACTCTCGCTTTTGTCTGAATGCCATTTGCTTGAAATATCATTTTCCACTCTATAGTTGTCTTTGGAGCTGAGATATGTCTCCTGGAGGCAGCGTATAGTTGGATTTTGTTTTTTGATCCAATCTGCAACTCTGTGCCTTTTTATTGGTAAATTCAGTCCATTTACATTTAGGATGATTATTGAAATATGAGGTCTTTTTATAGCCATTTTATCTTTTGCTTTCTGGTGGCTCAGTGGTTACATTGCTTCCTTGTCCTTGTGCTTCTGTTTTCTTTATTTTGGTTGGCTTTTGTTGGTTTTCCCTCTGGTCCTTCTTCTTTTATGTTATATACTTTGATTCTGACTCTTTCGCATGTGGTTACCCTTATGAATATGTAAAGGATAGTTATAGATATACAGTCATCCGTTTTCTTCTGTGCATGCCTTATCTCTATTCCCCTTTACTAATTTGGATGTTTGAATCTCCCCCTTCTCAGTCATCGTTATCTCAATTTGTTCTTATGTATGCTGAACGTTCATTACTATCTTGTTATAACAATTCTCTTATTATTTAAGCTTATAATGCCCTGTTCTTAGTAAAGGTTGCACGCCTCTGCTTCCATTTGCCTGATAGTCTCTTTACTCATAATTGTGTATTTTTTTTGTTGTCATTTTGTTTTAGGTGAACTGACGCCTTTCAGTTGCCTGTAGGGCAGTCCTCGTAGTGGAGAATTCCCTCAATTTTTGTATTTCTGGAAACATCTTAATTTCTCCTTCATATCTAAAAGAGAGAATAACTGGATAAATTATTCTAGTCTGGAAGTTCGTTTCACTTAATAGTTTACATATTTGATTCCATTCCTTTCTGTCTTGTAAGGTTTGCACAGAGAAGTCTGAGGGTAATCTAATGTGTTTACCTTCATAAGTTACCCTTTTTTCCTCCCTGGCTGCTTTGAGAATTCTGTCTATGTCACTGATTTTTGATAATTTTAATACAATGTGTCTTGGTGAAGATCTTTTTGGGTTGAGATAATTCGGTGTTTGTTAACTTCTTGAATTCCAAACTCTAGCTCATTCCTTAGATTTGGGAAATTCTTGTCAACTATTTGTCTGACATGCTTTCTAATCCTTGTTCCTTTTCCTTGCCTTTGATAATGCCTATTATTCCTATGTTTCCTCTCCTGATGGTATCAGCTAGTTCTTGAATTTCTCTTTCATTATTTTTCATCCTTCGGCTTCTCTGTTCTTTTTTTCTGATTTATTTCTAGC